AAATCCGAGTATTGACCAAGATCAAAGTTCGGGTATTGACCAAGATCAAATTTTGAATACTGACTAGTACTCACAAATTTTTCTGTTGGCTCATAATCGTCTAACTGGTTAATACGAAAACCGAAATTTGGTGCTGAAAGTTGGTATTGGAAATGTGGTGAAACAAATTTGCTTGGTGATGAAATTGGTGGAACCATAAATTTTGGGTTGAAGAACTTAGTCGATTACTACCCGCTACTGACCCTTATGTAAAAAAAATAAATATGGGGAAGGATGTCGTTGGATATAGGAACGGATGTCGCCAGAGAGAGTGATAGATGGAGATGGAATGATTTGCGATTTAGGGATTTAGGTTATGAGTTGATGTTGTTGCGTTGTTATATACCCAAAACATGTGTTGCGAAACTAAAACATGTTGCAAAATTAAATTCACGTTGCGAATTTGACTTTCGAGTTGCGAATTTGGAAAATCGCAATGCGATTTACATATTCGCGTTGCGAAATTGGAAACTGGGTTGCGAAATTGGAATTCGCATTGCGAATTTGAGATCGCGTTGCGAATTTGTTGGTCATTTTGGCAAATCCAAAAAAGTTGGTTATATTCGTATATTATAAGGAATTTTTGGTCACTGAGGTTATTTTCTCTATCGTTTAAGCATGTCTTGAATTGAAGTCCCTTTGTATGCAAAAAATCATCGCTAAGAGACTTACCTACCAAATTCAGGTGTGTGGTTTGGATTGGTCTGTATTATCACTTAAGCGGAGGAGATTCACCTATCAAAGTCAAGTGTGTGCCACAAATTGGTCCATATTAGTCATAACAAAACCTAGAGGAACCAAGAGAGAAACCAAAAAACAAAATAGATTATATTTAATTTACAAAATATAAAATTAAATGAGAAATTATCTCAAACCATCTATTTTAAATATATAAATAATTGATTAATTCAAATCAAGTTTGGTATAGGTTCATTATGGAAGGTGACCCTCCTAACTCAATTAATTCAATTTGCAATCATTAAAATTCGAACTTGTGACCTTATTTAAAGAATCTAATGACTCCTCCTATTAAATCAAGTGATTGTTGGTATTTTATTTGTAAACTTTAGCTAACATGTGATCAGTATAAAAAATATAATCAATTAAAAAAAGATAAAACGAAAAAGGCTTAATGAATTTTGAGATCCTCGAGCTTTTGAAATTAATAAATTCAGTCCTTAAACTACTTTAAGGTGGTGTTTGTTTTTGCAGAGGTAAAAGGTCTGCAGTCTGCGGACCACATCTGCAGGCATCTGCAGCATAAGAGGTGGACCAAAAGTCTGCAGTCTGCAAGAATAAGACTATTTGTTTTTTAACGTCTGCAGACTGCTAAAATGAACTGAAATATAAATAAACTGATTTTTTAAACTTAAAAGAGTTTTGCAATATGAGATTTAAATAATTTTAGTTTTACAATACTGAAATTTAAATAATCAATATAACTACAATAATAAATTATTTAAAATAAATCAATACATACTAATAAATTATTTAAAATAAATCAATCCATACAACTACAATAATAAATCAATCCATATTTTAAAATAAATCAATTCATACTAATAAATTATTTAAAATAAATCAATTCATACTAATAAATTATTTAAAATAAATCAATCCATACAAATACAATAATAAATCAATCCATATTTTAAAATAAATCAATCCATACTAATAAGTTATTTAAAAAATCAATTCATACTAATAAATTATTAAAATAATCAATCTATATTTTAAAATAAATCAATTCATAATAAATTATTTAAAATAATCAATCCGTATTTTAAAATAAATCAATCCATACTAATAAATTATTTAAAATAAATCAATCCATACAAATACAATAATAAATCAATCCATATTTTAAAATAAATCAATCCATACTAATAAATTATTTAAAATAAATCAATTCATACAACTACAATAATAAATCAATCAATATTTTAAAATAAATCAATTCATACTAATAAATTATTTAAATAATTCATCCATATTTAAAATAATCAATCCATACTAATAAATTATTTAAATAATCAATCATATTTTATAATAAATTATTTAAAATAAATAACCTTATTAAATTATTCAAAATTATTTTAATAAATAACCATATTTTATAATTGTTCTTGAAGAGGTTTGAAGACATAAAACCATGTCTGGACCAAGAAGAGCTCGTGCAGACATTAGAAAAACTTTTGTCTTCTAAAAAATAAACGGTCTGTAAAGCCTAATGTCTGCGCGTGGTCTGCGCGGTGCAGACATAAGAGGTTTGAAGAGGTTGCACAGTGAAAACAAACTAAGCCTAAAACTCACTTAAGTTTTTAAATTCAAAAAATTGATCAATTTAATCATTTGATTAATGAAAATCATCGTTGACCATCAGGATATTGATGTAACAGTTCACGCGTGAATAATGATATGACTAAGGGGATTAATTAATTCTTATAGAAAGTTTAAGAATTTATTCAATATTTAATAAAAAAATTTAAAATATTCAGAATATAATATATATATATATATATATATAATAAATTATTGAAAATTAAATATATTTATAAAATATTAAAAATATGTATGGTTATATATATCTTACTTATAAAGAATCAGATTTTGAATAATTGTAAACAATTCAATTCTCCTTTACATGATTGATGGGGTTTGTCCCAACCGTTCAACATTTTGCAAACAATTTAACTCTAGTGGACAAATACTTTACATGAAGGATTTTTTTAGTAATTAGGGATGAATATAAGATAATGTATATTTAAAATAATTTTAACTATTTAATAATGAATGTTTATACGTTTATGTAGATGTCGTGTTTGAACCTCACATTTTAAGAAATAACAACAATCTTTTGGCCAACAAATCGTTTGATTTATACACCTATATAGATTTTTTTTGAAGTGACACCTCCAATATATATATATATATATATATTTGCATGAACACGTTCCATAAATATTGAACATGTTACTTAGGTCCAATTTCAACAATAATTGCCGCTTGTCAATTCTTGTGGACAAAGATTGCATTTATGGGACTGGAGAGGTGGTGTTCCATGCCTAAATAGTGAAAATAAACCATTGAATCAGTTGGTCAAACCCAGTGGATAATTTGCAATTTGGAGTATGTGATAGGAGTAGCTAGCTATATGAGTTGACAGATTGTATGTTAGTTCATGTGTTGAACAAGTAAGGAATTTTTTTTATAGAATTAATATTTCGTAAATTGATCTTTTCCTTTATTTTTATTTTTCAATTTCATCATTAAATGTTGATTTGATATAATAAATTAAAATTTTTAATTATTAAATAGGTTCTTATATTTATTAGCACAATCTTTATCATCTTGTCAAAAGATATGTTTAATAAAATAGATAGTGTCAATATTATTAAACTTCATGTCAGATTAATATACATCACCTCCTTAATGTGATATCCTTTTTCAGTCAATCTCGTCATATTCAAATCACAATTGTCCATTCTATTCATCCTACATATTGGGACGTCCGTTGTGAAATCATGATGAAGCTGCATCATATTATTAATGCTAAACAAAAAAATATTATTATAGTTTAATTTTTTTTAAAGAAGGATTTTAGGTTAGATTTGTTGAGTCTATAATATTTTTTGGGGGAAACGAACATCATATTCATATTCATGATGCCAAAAGGGAATGAATTAAAATTTTGGGTTACAACGATCGTCGATGATGACGATTAATGGCAGCCGAAGATGACAATGATGTGTGGCGGCCAATGACATAAGATCTTGGTCAAATTCAGAGTTCAAGTTGAAATTTTATCTAGAGTTTAAAGATTAGGATGATATTTCATATAAAGTTTAGGGATCAAATTAAAAATTAATTTATTTTTAATAGTGTGTCACGTTATCAGACCAACATGAATTAACAACTCAATGATAAAAAATGTATCAATAAAAAAGGTACATGGTCAAAATTTAACAAAGTCGATAACATAACTTTTCTAAAATGAATAATTAAGAGTAAATAAAAGTGAAACGAAAGTGATTATACCACTAATTGACCGTTAAAAAATCGTAAAATTAAATAAATAAATAGGTAGATGGAAACTAACATGCTGGCAGCGGCTACCAACATTATAATTAACGTCAAAGTAAAGTAGTAGTATCCTTTTTGTTGTATTATCATTCATCATCCAACCACCACTTCACCAAAATATTCCAGCTTCCCTCTTTGCCTTTATTGCACTCAACTCCTTCATACCCTCGTCCTTTTCATTATAAACCCTAGACTAGAGGGGTTGGTTTACGGTTCGACCGGGTTCGGACAAATTATTTTAATGGATCTAATAATTTTATTCAAATTTAATATTTTATTTAAATTCTAGTAATTTTTGGTTTTGTTTGAGTAAATCATGGGAAACTCGACTAAAATTACTGAGGACTTCTTGTCAATATAATAAACATAGACAAATACAAATAGAGACCGAAAAGTACTATTGATCTTCTTAAAATTTATAGCCTAATAATATTTTAAGTCCAAATTTCTAGTGAGAAGGGATATGTTGACACGTCAGTATCACTGTTCATTTTTTAACGATGAGTGACCAAAACGTAACTTAAATATATATATTTTTTTAAAAACAGTTGGTTTACCAAAACGAAAATGTAAGAGTGGCTAAGTTAGTATATGATATAAGTATCAATTTTTTTATTAATCTAAAGTGAATATATGATTTTGAGATTAAACCCTCATACAATGCATAAGTGATGCTCGAACCTATAACCTAAAAAAAACAATAATCCATTAACAGGAAGGCTGTTTAATTCAGGTTGAATATCAAATGAGATAAATGAAAAGGAGCATTAAATCCCGTGAAGAAAAAGAAGAGAAAAAGTAAACCCACCACTTTCTCCTTCACAAGTTCATCCTAAACCTACCCTATATTTACATATTGTGAAATCATTGCCACTAAGATGGCTTCAATTCCCAAGTTCTCTTATCAGAGGCTGACCAACGAAGGAGGAGAAGAAACATCAATCCGATTCAAGAACGCAAGGAAATGGTCGAGGAGCGCCATTAAAAAGCGACCGAAGCTCAGAATTCCAGCGCTAAGAAGGTTCCTTAGAAGGAGAAGCAGAGTTTTCTTGAGGCTTAAGCTTTCATGGAGGAAGGCTTTGAAAAGGCTGAAGAATGGGCAGTCTCACATGAACGATTTGTTTGGTGGCAATTTCCTGGTTCTGCAACCGTATCACTCTCCTTTCAAAACTGGCAACAATCCATTGTAGGGTTCATCAATGGCTTTCATGGAAGGTTGCTTGCTCCAAAAGTATATCATATTAATATCTGATTCACGATCAAGATTGTGGTTTTATGTTCTTTTTTTTTGTTGAATATTGTTGTTTGTAATTTCATTGTCCATAAAGCTTATAGTAAATATCAATGTATCTGGTTTTTTACACTACTGAGAGGGCCATAATGGCCCGTTCAAGGAAGTTCCCCACTTGCTATATTTAATACAAGGGTAAATTATTCATATAGTCACTCAAGTATTAGTATGATTTAAAATGGGTAACCTAATTTTAAAATATTATATAATGATCACTTAAATTATCGAGAATTATAAAATAATCACTGTTCGTTAATTTTTAGATGGAAAATTAATGTAATAGTTAAGAAAATTAGTATGATAATAAAATCATTCATGGAATTTTTAAATCTTACATCATTTAAATATAACATTTTATATATTCACTCTCTCAGTGACTAAAGGCAAAGTTCATACATAAGTGTCCTTGTTGTTGCTCAAACTGATTTATGCAAATATGTGTCTTCAGCGCACTTTGTACATATGTATTTTTTTTGGATAAAATTCTTATCTTTTTTTCATTTCTTTCATTGTAATTTGTTCTTACAATTGTATCACTATGTAGGTAGAAGATGCGCCCAGCGTGACGCTTCTTTATCCTATATATCACAAAAAGGTTTCGGTTCAAAAAATAATATAAAATAGATGTTAATCTCGAAAATAATTTTTATCACGGTGATATTTAGATAAAAAAAAATTATTGCTTTCCTAAAAGAACATATAAATTATATAAAAATTTGGGCCAACTGGCCCTTATAGCTCAGTGGTAGAGCGTCAGTCTTGTAAACTGAAGGTCCGTAGTTCGATCCTGCGTGAGGGCATTTTCGAGATTGTGTTATAAATTATTTTGCCAATTTTTTACATATTTTACGACATAGTTTTTGAGCTTCGTTAAACCTTGGAAAGCCCTCTTCCTTAAAACCCTCGTCATTCACCTTTCTTGTATTCAAAACATGGCAAATCTCATACATAAACTCTTCAAAAACAAACCCACTCAAAGACTCTTCATCTCTTTCAAATCCCCACATCATCATCACCAACTCCCTAAACTCTCACTCCTTCACTTATTCCCCAACAGCCACTCTATTTTTCATTACCCAAACCAGATTCCCTCAATCCCAAATCCCCCAAAGATGGCAACTTTACTCAACCTTTGAAGTTCTAACCCAATTTCTCACTTAGGTGTGTCGCGGTCGTCTTTCGGATTGGGATCGGAATTGGGCTTCGACTTAGATTAAATGGGTTAGGGTCGCCACCGATTATTTTAAAATGATATTTAGGTAGATCGGACACCGTCTTACCTGATCTGCGTGTTACCAGAAATACGTCGGGTTCGGGAGTCGGTTACAGTCAAGGAAGGATTAGCACCCTTGAACGGCCCTTTCAGTACCAATTAATTTGTCGGTTGTCTTTAATTGCGAAAATTTAAATTTAAATTAAAACTTAAAAATTCAATTCGAAATAATTACCTTTGATCGATTGAAATTACCCTTAAGAATGTCAAAAAAGGTTAGACTGAAAAATAAATATTAAATAAATTGAAGAGAAGAAAAAAATAAATAAATAAATTGATAAAATAACAATAAAAATGTTAAGAAAAAATAAAAATGAAGAAAAATATCCAGTCTCTAAAAATAAAAGATTGTACAAAAACAATGTTAAAAATAAGTAAAAATATTAGAATTAAAAATAAAAAGATAAATAAATATGTATATATATATATATAACAAATAAATAAAGGATCAAAATAACAAAAACAAAATGTTAAAGGACTAAAATATCAAAAACAGAAAATTAAAGTAATAGAACAGAGGAAAAAATATTTGAAGGATTGAAATAATGATTAAACCAAATGTAATGACTAAAATAAAAAACTCAAAAATAATATGACCAAATATTTAAAGTGCAACAATTTTCCACCTTCAGTAATAACACCGTTGATGTTCGGAAATGATCCATTATTCCATGTACGTGGACCCCAATGACCAGTCAGTCATTATATCTCAAATCCAACCCCAAGTACATTACTCATTTCCTTTCACATTCTCATTCACTCAAACACCTACGATACTCTCCTTAAAAAAACACAGTTCTTCGGGGCTCTTCACTTTCCAAAATGTAGCTTCGAAAAAAATAGTGACCGTCGTCTTCACTTTCTAAACTGTACCTTCAAAAAATGGTGACCGTCGGACTTCCAAAATAGAAACAAGGTATGGCTTATTCTCCTCTCTTTTTCATTGGTTCTCGATTTTTCGTATTTTTTTCCCTCGAATATCTCTGTCTTTTTTTTCCTCGGTTTGCGCATCCTGAAATGCTTATATTTTCTTCGAATGAATCTGGTTTTTTTGTCGGTGTTGGTTCCCCCGTATTTCGTATGTAACCTCTCTCCTCTCTGTTCCCCCTATGCTTTCGAGAACCCCTTATTTATAATTTAATAACAACCTAGTTTTAGGTGTCTGATTTTGAGTGAAACACTCGGCTAACGTTGTTGTTTGTTGATAATTGGTTTCGAGTTGCCGAGAAATCCGGGAATGGTGCGTGTTGCCGTGAAAAGCGACAGTTGACTGAGTTGGGATGAAGCACGCGGAGCTGGAGGAAACTGGGGTTAGGGTTACGCGTAATGGTTCGGGCTGGACCATTGTTTGGTCTGATCTGGGTCCACCGTGGGCCAGTGTTGTAGTGGCTTTGAGTCTGCAAAAATAAAATAAAAAAAAAGAATGAGATGCAATATGTAATGATATAATATATATATATATATAATATATATACAAATTATATAATTATAGCAGCCGGACGAAATTAGGTGTCTACAGCTGCCCCTCTTTGTCCTTTTTCGTTGAACGAAAAATATGACAAAGACAAAAGGACACAAATTTCGTTCGGTGGAGTTGAAAATTGATTCTGATATTTAAGAATAACTCTCTGTCGATTTGAATTGCGGATGGTTCCTTCGTTGCGAAGTCGAGTCCATCTTGAAATTATATGGAGTTGAAGTTGTAATTCGGGATTTGAATCGGGATGCGATTTCTCGTTGCCAAATTGTAGTCAACCTCGGTCTTCTTCTCGGTTTAAAGACCTTGGTTGGAAAATTTGACTGGAAAATAGTTCTTTGACTCCACCATGTGGTTGACAGGCCCTCGAGCTGAGTGTAATCGAACTCGAAGGACTTTGTTGACAGATAGCTTTTCTCGACTTAAACTATGCTGCCAGAAAATGGTTTCTTGTCACTAGGGCACGACTAACCCAGGTCTTCTTCTTGACTTGAAAACCTCGACTGCAATCGGACAGTAGTGTAATTGATGTTTCATCGAGCTGAATGAAATCGAACTCGACAGTATTTGGGTTTCAAGAGAAAAAATTTCAAAGGCTTTTTTGTGTGTGTGTTTCAAGAGAAACAATTTCGAGGGTTTTTTTGTGTTTCAAGAGAAACTGTCTCAAGAGGGACAAAATTTGTTTCAAAAGAAACTGTCTCAAGGGAGACGAAATTTGTTTCAAGGAAAAAATATTCAAAGATTTTGTTTCAAGGAAAACTGTCTCAAGAGAGATGACCCCTTGTTTCGAGAGAAACAATCTCATAGGCGATCGATAATTTGCATGTTCCTGAAGATGAATATTGCTGGTGAGCACGATTCCCTTCGTCGTGAAATTGAAACCGTGGATGGCCCCTAAGTCATGAAGTTGAGCCTTGACTTGAATATCCTTTGCTGTGAAGTTGAAATCCAAGTTGCTGGTGAGCACGATTCCCTTCGTCGTGAAGTTGAAACCGTGGATGGCCCATTCGTTGTGAAGTTGAGCCTTGAATTGGATATCCTTCGTCGTGAAGTTGAAATCCAATGTAAGTTGCTTTGTTCCAATATCCTTCGATGTGAAGTTGAAATTGACTCTGAAACTAGAAAGTTTGTTGACAGATGCTCCTTCTTTGAGTTGGTTATCCATCGTCGTGAAGTTGAAATCCAATCTAAATATGGATGTTGCTCGTGTGCACGATTCTCTTCGTTGTGAAGTTGAAACCGCAGGTGGCCCCTTCGTCGTGAAGTTGAAACCGCAGGTGGCCCCTTCGTCATGAAGTTGAGCCTGAGAATTGGATATCCTTCGTCGTGAAGTTGAAATCCAAGTATTGTTCCGAGTCCAATATCCTCCGTCGTGAAGTTGAAATTGGTTCTGGAACTGGGAAATTATTTGTTGACAGTCAGCCAGGTGGCCCCTTCGTCGTGAAATTGAGCCTGAGAATTGGATATCCTTCATCTTGAAGTTGAAATCCAAGTATTGTTCCGAGTCCAATATCCTCCGTCGTGAAGTTGAAATTGGTTCTGGAACTGGGAAATTATTTGTTGATAGTTAGCCACCCTTTCGCTGTGAAGTTGAGCTTGTGTTGTCTCGAGTCTAATATCCTTCGTTGTGAAGTTGAAATTGACTCTGAATGAAATTTTGTTGACAATCAGCCGCCCCTTCGTCTTGAAGTTGAGCTTGTGTTGTCTTGGGTTCAATATCCTTCGCTGTGAAGTTTAAATTCAACTGAAATTGGGAAGCCCCTTCGTCGTGAAGTTGAGCCTCAAATGACACGATATCCTCCATCGTGGAGTTGAAATCATGGATGTGTGGGTACGATATCCTTCGTCGTGGAGTTGAAATCGCGTATGACCCCTTCATCGTGAAGTTGAGCCTTGACTTGAATATCCTTCGTCGTGAAGTTGAAATCCAAGTATTGTATGTTACGGGTGGACACGATTCCCTTCGTCGTGAAGTTGAAACCGTGGATGACCCCTTTATTTTGAAGTTTGACTTCGAGCTAGATATCTTTCGTCGTGAAGTTGAAATCTACTCTCGAGAAAATTGTATAGTTTCGAGTCCAATCTCATTCACTGCGAAGTTGAATTTGGCTCTAAAAGCTGTAAAAAAAAAATTATGTGTGCTAAAAAT